TAGATCATCTATATATTTGATGAGATTCAATTTATTAAAATATTGGGTTTTCCAGTATATATTGGGTTTTCACCATATCTGGTTCTGGGGACCTGAGAGGGAAAGAGAGAAATCAAATGAGAATCTTGGTCAGGTCCTGCTGACAGCTGAGTCTGAAGGGCCTGCTGGTAGTGGCAGAGGCTAGGGCCAATATGAGCTCCTTCAGACTGCCATCTGAGTTACTAACAAGAAACAGATGCTACTGAAGAATTCTAAGTCAGGCATCCTGCAAATGCTCTCACTGAAAAGTCCATCCATGATATGGATAGATCTTTGTATGATGTATCATATTTTATGGGATCCAGGTATATTTTTCCAGGAGCCTCAAATGAGAAATGGACAACTAAGAGGGAAACAACGTGTTCAATGACAAATGTTTGAAAGGAAACCCAAGGTCTAGGGGCAGATCTGGTCCCTCATCCCAAGTTCTCATCCATGTCCCCACATAAGAGCGATGGGACATTCAATGTGACCCTGGGAGGACATGAGGGAGAAAGTCTTGGTCATTCACAACACCACAGCAATCAATACACACATCACTCGTTCCAGTACACCAGACCTTTCCTACCTTCATAAACGATCGATAGCACTTTACATAAAATTCTGGTGGATGATAAGAGCCACCCTCTGCTACCACATGTCTGAGTGGGTGGCTTCTCAATAGAATCACTCTGAGGGTGGACGCTGCCACATGATGGCGTATTTTGAAGGGAACACTTCGAAAGCTGGTAGGAAGTTACACTTCCTATGAAGCTAGGACAACGGTTTTTCACGACAAAACCTGAAAAGAGGAAAACATTCCTAAGAAGGCTCACAAGTGCCAAGGCCATGAGCAGGGTCTAAGGGGCACCCAGGCAAGCAGTGGTACTCTAGGGAGCTACCGTGGCAAACCTACACTATCCTCAATACACAAAGATGCTTCTACAAGCTCTACCTGGAGAAACAGGAGAATTCATAAAGGAGAGGCATGGGTACCGTGGGCCAATGGCTATTGGAATCTGCCTGAAACATCCAGAGCAGGTAAGTGAACTACCCAGCAAATACTCACTTCCAAGAAGCGCATCAGAAAAGAAGTATTGATGTTTATTAAAGATCATGGGCCGTGCACATGGGCGATCAATATCCTGGTAACAAGCTTCACGAAGTGCGCACCACTTAGGCCCCTTCACAGAGATATCACAGGAGGACATAGTGGATTTATTCAAGGCAGTCTTCTGGGATGCTCTGTGGAGGGACAAAGGGAAGGGACATTACTAAGGACAGATGCAAGGTTTCCCTAGCGTTAACAGCACATTGGAGAACAACAAAACAAAACAAAACAAAAATGGCACACCAGAGAAGAGCCCCTTGATCTCACCACCACAGTGCCCCGGGGTCCAGACCAGGCCCTGTCAGGTTGAACTAGAGGAAACAAGGTTGGCGGCTGAGACAGGACTCAGCCTCTTGTTGTGGAGACAACACAGAATCTGTGAGGTCAGAAATGCTACAGGAGGGGGCATGCATCCTGGGCCACCAAGGGCAGTGGTCCAAGGAGGAGGGCTGAGACACGGAGGGCCCTATGCCAGGCTAGAGAGTAGGGGATTCTCAGAGATGTGGGTGTCCTGGGATAGGCTGGAATAGGGACCTCCTGGGCCCATGGTGGATGACAATACCCACATCACACCCTAACCCAATACACCAATGTCAACATGCACACCCCTGCCTTTGGTGAGCCCTAACTATACAGAAGTGTACATCTAGATGGCAGCCACAGACACGCTTGCATACTTACCCATTTTGGACATCACTACAATCTCCAGATACTTCCCCCTCCTCCACAACCGCCTCCTCATCAAGCAGTGCTTCGCTCGAGGTGTCACCTTCCTGCTTTGCCTCCTTATCTGCCTTAGGGCTGCAGGGCTCAGCTGCTGCAAGAAGCACACATGGGGCAAGGTCAGGACAAGAAGAAAAATGGAAGCAAAGCTCTCACCATTTGTTCTGCACCCTCTGGCCTAGACCTGGCCTGGTATGTGACTGTGAAGTCACACCTGCCAGGGGAGAGCCTTCTTCCATGGCCAGCCTCATGCCTCTGCCAACCATCAGAGGGCCCCATATTGGACCTTGCACAACCTACCTCTCAAGCAGAATCTCATGTCAAAGAGGCCTGACACTCAGGGAGAAACTAGGACCCAGGAGGCTAGCTGTCTGACCCAACAGGGTTGCCCTCGATTGACCAGCTGGTTGAAGGGGCTCGCGGACTTGGGAACCAGGCCTTGGTGAGGCAAAAACCATGCACCATGGAAGACTTGCCTGCAATGGTTGACCTGCAGAGGACAGGTCAGCCTTGGCTGGAGATAGTCATACCCACAACTGGGCAAGCCTTCCAACATGACTAGTCTCATGAACTCTGTTAGCCTTCAGATTCCAAAGTCACCACACTGGGTTTACACTCGAAGGCTGGACAGCGGCCTGGGGTTGGTGACAATCAAGGAAAAATAAACCAGGCATCTGAGGCAAAAGCTGCTCTAAACATCGCAACGGGGGATAGAGGTTCAGGCACCAGGCCTTGGAATGCAGAGAAAGCCCTTTGAGGCCAGCCAAGTTTGTAGCTAAGCATTGAAACTCGGTGAATGACACGACACCAGGGAGACAGGGCTGCCAGGAAGGGTGAGCAAAACCACAAGATACCTAGATTGTCTCACAGAGTCGGGCTTTAACCACGCACATGAGCAGTAACAGCCAAAATAGGGTGACTGCACCAGGAAACTGGACAACAAAGGCCATTAGAAAAAGAAAAACAACAAAGGAAATCATGACGAAACAGAATTTTGCACCAGGGAAGAAATTCAGAGAGGTTAAGGTGGAAGGGGAGTAATGCACACAGTAAAACCATAGGGTGGTGAGAAAAGCAGAAAATAGACCTCCTGTGCAAATATTCCAAAACAATTTGCAAAACAGTGCATTTCAAACAGGAAAAAAAAAAAACCAAGAAACTGGGGGGATGAAAAAAAATGGCTGAATATATTTATACACACCCCAAAAAGACTCATCGAAACAGAAATACTAAAATATGGTAGGAAAGGGTGGGAAACCAAAGAACAGACACAGAGAAGAAGAAAAGAAAAAAACGAGTGAAACATAAAGAAAAAAATAAAAGAAGGTAAAATGACTCACCTTTGAAGGCCTCGGCCCGGAGGAAAGGCGCCTCCACACGGCTCTTCGGGCTGACGACAATGCCCAGGCTGGCAGCCCACTCTTGCAAAGCCCAGTGGGCCAGGGCCTCGGGTCTCCTATTGGTAAATCTGGTCACGTCCAGGTAGTGTGGGGCCGAGCCCGGCCTGAGGAGAGAGGCCAGGGGGAAGAGAGCTGAGCGCTGCTGGATCCAGGGGCATGGCATGGGACCCGGCTGCCCCAGGAACCACCATCGCCAGCGCTCGCCCGCCCTCTTGGGCCCAAGCGGCTGGCCTCCCAAGGAAAAGCACTGTGACAGTGGCAACCCATGCCAGCGGGGACCCGAGCGAGCCAGCACCGTGGCACCACTGCACCTATGGGTGCAAGCTGACACAAGGGGCCTGGGACACCCTGCTGGCCGTGGTCCAGGTGGGGGTGGTGTTTGCGTTGCGTGGGCACGGCCAAGAGGTGGGCTCTGAAGCACAGCATCCCACGTCACCCCCGAGCCCCAAGGCCCTGGCTCCCTCACGCTTGGGCACGCACCAGGTCGAGCCAGAAGCAAGCCCAAGGAGCCTGGGCAACGCCAACAGTCCCACTTGAGCTGGCCGGGGACATGCCCATGCGCCCGACTCCGGCAGGACCCAGGAACACACACGCTAGGGCTTCCCGCGGCCACCTGGCCCTCTGCTCCGTGTGCGTGCCGCATGCCGGCCACACCAGCTACTCACTCGCGCAATGACATCATTCACCCACACTTTCCTGGGGCACTCACACACACTATTACGGGCTTCAGTGCCTACTACTCGCACGCAACATGTGGAGATGGGACGGCACGGATACCCCACAAGGGGTCCTGATCCTCCGGTCCCTTGCGACACAGGGAAGGCCCCAGGGGGCTTCACCACTGCAGCTGACGGCCAGGGACGCGGCTCTCAGGGAGGCACACTGCCAAGAGCGCTCTGCAGACCAGCAGTGCCCCACCAGAGCAGTGGTGCCGTGCAGGGCTAGAACGGGGCCTTCCTGGCACACGGCCGGCCTTCCACAGCTCACCCCACGGCCCCTCCCCCGGCAACACAGACACACCCCACATTCCACTCAGGCCTGGCAGCCATGTCCAACAGCCACTGTCACACGCACACACTTACCCCGAGTCCACGTCGGTCCTGCCAGTGGGAATGGCCAGTGCTTTGTCATTATCTGGGGTGGGTGGTCCTACAAAGGGGGCGGTGGCGTCCACTGCAACGGAGGGGCAGGGGAACTCCCGTGAGACCAAAGCACGCGAGGGTCCCCAGCGTGCCAGCTCCGCAGCCAGGGGAGGGCCGTGGCCTCAGCTCACGCCACCGCCTGGGTGGGCAGCCGCCCTGCATGCCGCAGGACCTGGCACGCGTGGCCTCTGCCAGCCCTCTGTGCTCTTCTTCCCTCCCTCCTACCCTCACTGCCTCCCCCCCTCCACCCATCTCTCCCTCTCTGCATGGGCAAGCCCACTCTGCCAGCAGCCCTCTGCCCTCGGGGAGCACACGTGTGCACTGCCCCTGGGGCCTGACACACACTGACAGCTCAGGGTTTCTAACCTATGGCAGGACCCTTCCACCACCACCACACAGCCAGGACTTCAGGCAGGCGCTGGCCACAGTTGTCAAGGTTGCAACCCAGCCCCGTAGCGCCCATGCAAACACTACTGCGTCCAGCCATCCTACGGGCTGCGCATTCTACCCTGGACCTCAGGGGGAAAGGGGCTGTGCGAGAGGGAGGGAAGCGTGGGCACGACTCCCAGCCTGCAGAAGCAACAGCAGCAGCAGCAGCACCAAGAGGCTCTGCCTGGGCTCACGGCAACCTCACGTTGTGTCCCGGGGCTCTGGCAGCAGCACCAGGAGACAAACGCCAACTACACTGAGGGCCAGCTCACCCTGCGGGAGTTGCATCCCGCGACTCACCCTCGACGGCCTCTAACTGGAGGCTCTTCGGGCTGACAACAATGCCCAGGCTGGCAGCCCACTCTTGCAAAGCCCAGTGGGCCAGGGCCTCGGGTCTCCTATGGGTAAATCTGGTCACGTCCAGGTAGTGTGGGGCCGAGCCCGGCCTGAGGAAAGAGGCCAGGGGGAAGAGAGCTGAGCGCTGCTGGATCCAGGGGCATGGCTTGGGACCCGGCTGCCCCAGGAACCACCACCGCCAGCGCTCGGCCACCCTCTTGGGCCCAAGCGGCCGGCCTCCCAAGGAAAAACACTGTGACAGTGGCAACCCATGCCAGCGGGGACCCGAGCGAGCCAGCACCGTGGCACCACTGCACCTATGGGTGCAAGCTGACACAAGGGGCCTGGGACACCCTGCTGGCCGTGGTCCAGGTGGGGGTGGTGTTTGCGTTGCGTGGGCACGGCCAAGAGGTAGGCTCTGAAGCACAGCATCCCACGTCACCCCCGAGCCCCAAGGCCCTGGCTCCCTCACGCTTGGGCACGCACCAGGTCGAGCCAGAAGCAAGCCCAAGGAGCCTGGGCAACGCCAACAGTCCCACTTGAGCTGGCCGGGGACATGCCCATGCGCCCGACTCCGGCAGGACCCAGGAACACACACGCTAGGGCTTCCCGCGGCCACCTGGCCCTCTGCTCCGTGTGCGTGCCGCATGCCGGCCACACCAGCTACTCACTCGCGCAATGACATCATTCACCCACACTTTCCCGGGGCACTCACACACACACTATTACGGGCTTCACTGCCTATTACTCGCACGCAACACGTGGAGATGGGACGGCACGGATACCCCACAAGGGGTCCTGATCCTCCGGTCCCTTGCGACACAGGGAAGGCCCCAGGGGGCTTCACCACCGCAGCTGACGGCCAGGGACGCGGCTCTCAGGGAGGCACACTGCCAAGAGCGCTCTGCAGACCAGCAGTGCCCCACCAGAGCAGTGGTGCCGTGCAGGGCTAGAACGGGGCCTTCCTGGCACACGGCCGGCCTTCCACAGCTCACCCCACGGCCCCTCCCCCGGCAACACAGACACACCCCACATTCCACTCAGGCCTGGCAGCCATGTCCAACAGCCACTGTCACACGCACACACTTACCCCGAGTCCACGTCGGTCCTGCCAGTGGGAATGGCCAGTGCTTTGTCATTATCTGGGGTGGGTGGTCCTACAAAGGGGGCGGTGGCGTCCACTGCAACGGAGGGGCAGGGGAACTCCCGTGAGACCAAAGCACGCGAGGGTCCCCAGCGTGCCAGCTCCGCAGCCAGGGGAGGGCCGTGGCCTCAGCTCACGCCACCGCCTGGGTGGGCAGCCGCCCTGCATGCCGCAGGACCTGGCACGCGTGGCCTCTGCCAGCCCTCTGTGCTCTCCTTCCCTCCCTCCCACCCTCACTGCCTCCCCCCCTCCACCCATCTCTCCCTCTCTGCATGGGCAAGCCCACTCTGCCAGCAGCCCTCTGCCCTCGGGGAGCACACGTGTGCACTGCCCCTGGGGCCTGACACACACTGAGAGCTCAGGGTTTCTAACCTATGGCAGGACCCTTCCACCACCACCACACAGCCAGGACTTCAGGCAGGCGCTGGCCACAGTTGTCAAGGTTGCAACCCAGCCCCGTAGCGCCCATGCAAACACTACTGCGTCCAGCCATCCTACGGGCTGCGCATTCTACCCTGGACCTCAGGGGGAAAGGGGCTGGGCGAGAGGGAGGGAAGCGTGGGCACGACTCCCAGCCTGCAGAAGCAACAGCAGCAGCAGCAGCACCAAGAGGCTCTGCCTGGGCTCACGGCAACCTCACGTTGTGTCCCGGGGCTCTGGCAGCAGCACCAGGAGACAAACGCCAACTACACTGAGGGCCAGCTCACCCTGCGGGAGTTGCATCCCGCGACTCACCCTCGACGGCCTCTAACTGGAGGAACTTCGGGCTGACGACAATGTTCAGGCTG